CTTTTCCCCTTAGTGAATGCAGGTAACTGTAGTGAAGCACAGTAGAATCCTACACTATCCCCAACATTAAACCCACAGTCTGCTAGAACAATATCTCCAGGTAACAGGTTTTTTTAGAAGGTTACTCTCTTCTGTAATTTGCTTATCTTCTGCTTGGGGAGGAAGTGTTACATACAGCAACATACCCTTGGGGAGCAATACCGATAAGAAACTTAACAGTGTGGTGATGCTTATAGTTTGACCATGTGTATTTACAATAAGACGAAATATGATATCAAACACCACTGCCTCTTTTCGTTTTCATTTAAACATATTAATAATTCAGGGAAAATACATACATTACAATGAAAACATTACCTGTTAGATTTACCCAAAACTAATTATATGTGACCCTGGATCACAAAACCAGTCTTAAGTGTCAATTTTTTGAAACTGAGATTTATACATCATCTGAAAGCTGAATAAATAAGCTTTCCATTGATGTATGGTTTGTTAGGATAGGACAATATTTGGCCGAGATACACCTATTTGAAAATCTGGAATCTGAGGGTTCAAAAAAAATCTAAATATTGAGAAAATCGCCTTTAAAGTTATCCAAATGAAGTTCTTAGCAATGCATATTACTAATCAAAAATGAAGTTTTGACATTTAAAGTAGGAAATTTACTAAATATCTTCATGGAACATGATCTTTACTTAATATCCTAATGATTTTTGGCATAAAAGAAAAATCTATAATTTTGACCCATACAATGTATTTTTGGCTATTGCTACAAATATACCCCAGCGACTTAAGACTGGTTTTGTGGTCCAGGGTCACATATCTTATGTTTAACCACTACGGAGACATCAGAGCCAGCGCCAAATGTCAGAAGGACTAGCCGAGTTGAGGCTGCTCTCGTCGGGATACATGAGCACTGAGCACCCGCTGATCGCGTGGAGCTCACGTCTCCGAAATCGGCGAAGCACATTTTCAAATAGCCGCTGTCTTTATAAATAAACCGCAGATTTGAGTTTTAACCAACTACATTCTCGCATGAAATACTTTTAAAACAACATTTCATGACACAATAACAGTAATATTTTACAAAAATATGTGAATATATGGTGATTGAAATACAATGCTGCGTGAACTCAACCAATCAGCATGCTCAGCACACAAGTCCCGCCCCCGAAAGTTCCGGACCTTTGAAAAAGTACTACTACCTCGCGAGCAGGGACTTTCTGAGGGGCAAATTTTTACCCGGAACTTTATTTAGATCCTGGTTCCTGCGGTGGAAACACGCCGAGTACCGGCCCAAAGCCCTAGCTCCTGGAGAAAGTTCCTGCGGTGGAAACGGGGCTAATGTCATCCATGGTTAGGTCTGTCTGGCATTCTGCATCTGCATAAAATATATAGCAGTAGGGAGAGGGATTAGTTATTCAAATTACTCTCCATATCAATAATGACATGAATTGTTGACTATTTCTACTACTTAGTAGTCAGCATTCTTACAAAAGTTTCACGTTATCTGTTCCACTTTATTTGCGGATTCATATTTTTTATACACTACACATATTTTATACACCCAGGTGAGTCCACAGAGAATTAATTATCTATTTTGTAAGCCTAATTCAAAGTTTACATGCATTATTTGTTGTAAGAATATCGTCTGCCTTATACAAATACTGGCAACACTTATTAATACAATGACTTTACCTTGTTGATCACGTAACATCTCTGTGTTGTCCTCTTGCTCTGTGTTCTCAGCTGACTCATGGAGACCCAGCAAGGCCTCTGCAGCTTCTGCGTGTCCATGTTGATCGTCTCTGGACTTCATCCTCTCCGTTCGTTTACGCGATGCTTCTGACATGGGCCGACATTTCTGATAACCGAGGTTAATTGTAGGAGCCCAGTCTACAGACTCAACATCATGTATAGCACTAGGACAGCCTAAAGAGAACAACACAGTAGCAATAAATCTGCCCCCTGCAAAGACTTTGTAGTTAGCTTTGCTAATGTTACATATTTTTGTTAAGTTACAAGAGTAAAAACTCAAACGAAGAAAAGAAAAAAACCTATCATTTTAACTTCACGAAGTACGGAAAAGCTAACTTTATACAAACATAAACATAGCATATTTAAGTTATAACTTACCTTTGACAAAGTGGTCACTGCACACACGAGCATTAGCGGACTCCGCTCCTCCCGACCGCAGACGCAGGTTTTCAAGCCACTTTTTCCTACGTTTTTCAGTCAATTCCTTGAAATTTCCCCCCTTGTGAGCAACAACTTTTGGTACACGATAAAAGCTCTTCGTTTTTTCTCGGTTTGACCGATTTGAGCATCCGTAAACAGCGCAAAACATAGGCATTTTGAGTTTCTCCTAGTGATTTTATTGAGGGAAAAATCACTTCCTGCCCTCCAGCTGCATTTCGCGCGGACACCGCGGAATCAAAACGCTTTATTATGCATGATACCAATGTATACAACTGGTGAAACACGTTTTTTAATCTACGACCGGTTGAATATCGCAGTGACGAATCTGTCGCCGTCAAACATCTGCTGGAAATTCAGGCAAACATACTTGCGTGCGCACGCACATCCCCAGTTGTTCAAAAGCAGATCGCAATATGGCCAGACGATGCTACCTCAGCACTGCAGGACTGCATGCAGGACACAGACTGCAACATGTTCAGAGAGGCAGCCACCTACAACAATCACAAAGACACACCGAAACAGTGACTGCTTACATCATAGATGATGTGACGGTCACCTAGACCAGTGAATCTCAACCTTTTGGAATCTCAACCATCCTCAAGGACCCCCAGAACAAAATTGACTCATCTATGTATCATTTGTGTCTTTGTGAGGACCAAATGCAGTCAAGTATTATTCAAGTTAGTTGACTTGTCCAGTATCATGTCATGTCAAAATATACAAAATGTATACAAAAATTCATACTTTATACGGACCCCCTGGCCTTGCGTCAAGGACCACTAGCGGTCCACGGAGCCCTGGTTGAGAAACACTGACCTAGACCATCACCACACGAGCCAACCAGAAGCCATGGATGACGGGCTGCTAAAAATCCGAGATAAGGCATTCAGATCAGGAGATAAGGCAGCTCTCAAAACAGCAAGAGCCAATCTGTCTCATGGCATCAAGAAGGCAAAACATCAATATGCTCAAAAAATCAACAATAACTTCAGTGACAGTGAAGACACCCGGACCCTGTGGCAAGCCATTCAGATCATCACTTACAAGCCCCTGCCACAGGCCAGTGACGATGACACACCCCTGCCAGTTGCACTCAAACACTTCTACTCACGATTTGAGATACAGAACAACACACCTGCACAAAAACTGCACACATCTCCAAACGACCAGGTGCTCGGTCTCTCTCCAGCCGACGTAAGGAAGACCCTGTCCAGGATTAACCCACGTACGGCTGTGGGCCCTGACAACATACCTGGCCGCGTGCGAAGGGTCTGGCTGCAGCCTTGCACTTGCATTCTCAGACTTGCACTCTCAGACACTCGCGCTTCCGCTATGACCTCACTTGCAGTCTTTTATTTTTTTTTATTTTGTTCTATTTATTGATTAATTTTTGTTTGAATCTCTCAACATTTTACAACAGTAGCCAGGTGGTGAAGACAAGAAAAAAGAAATTAAATTACGAAGTCACTTGCAATCGCCACTTGCACTCTCCGCTACTTGCGACGTCACTTGCAATCGACACAAATCGTGCGTGTTGCCAATGGAGACGAGACTCTGTGGTGGTGATTAAACGATTATTTATTTTATTTATTTATTTAGTCATTTATTAGAGGCTTTTATCCAAGTGACATTGTAATTTACTTTCTTTTTTCTTGTCTTCACCACCTGGCTACTGTTGTAAAATGTTGAGAGATTCCAACAAAAAGTAATAAAACATAGAACAAAATAAAAAATAAAGCCTGCAAGTGTCTGAGAGTGCAAGTCTGAGAGTGCAAGGCTGCAGCCAGACCCTCTTGGGCCGTGTACTGAGAGACTGTGCTGCACAGCTGATGAAAGTCCTAACAGATATCTTCAACACCTCTTTGAGCCAGGCAGTCGTCCCTACGTGTCTCAAATCCAAATAAAGATCCAATTATTAATAAAACCAATGTTGAAGAACACCATTGTCCCAATAGGGCACGGCCATATTGCGCTTATTTGGGACCCGAGTCTGCGCAGTAGTGAGCGAAGTGGAGCCGCATCCCACCCACACTCCCGCTTTTTGTCTGCTGATTGCCGTATAAGAGGCTTGTGTTAAAATATGGTAAATACAACTCCAATCTCTTCCTGAAGATCCCGAAAAAGTCTGTTGGCGCCTCAGTTCACTCAGAGAAGCTCTCAGTCTCAGCTGTCAATCATAACGTCACACTCCCATTTTTATAGCATCACAACTAACTCAAACCAAACTTATTTAAAAAACGAACACTTGAACTTACATCAGCGTGATTAAAATCTACGTCAAATGTCAAAAACCATGTTTGAAAACAAAATATTTTAAGTGAAATTTAATTATTTAGTTTGTCTAAATCCCTTTAGATTACATGGAGAGGGTGGGGTTTATGACCTATACTGGGACCAGCCACCTGGGGGAGATCGAAACGCAAGGCTTCACTTTTGGGGACTAGTGCGGCACTCTTGGTATCTACTTTACATTCAGGGTGTCAGTTGCAGGCGTTAAACCATGTGGAAAAGTCAGTTCTGTCATTACAATAAAGCAAGCACGTGAACATGATCAAAACATTCCTGCTTCACTTGTCGGGAATAACTAACCTGAATGGTTGGACTAGAGAGGCCTGTTTAAAAATTCCCTTAACTTGAACAGAAAACTATGATCACTGATATGGCTGGAGTTTCTCGTTTTATTTCTTATTTGCATGAGCAAAAATGGATAGAAAAGACAAGACAGGTGTTTCTTTAAATATAGATATTTCACATCTTTATTTTTTTATTCATAGAATCTCTTAAATTAAACATCGTGTGACAACAGCCACAGTGCATTGTTGAATACACAAGTATTTACAGCAAAATTGTTGTGTCAACCCAAGCAAAAACCGCAAGGATTTTTTTTATAACAAAAAATGAAAGAAAAAATAAAACTGACTGTATCAAAAATACCCCAGTGTTTACATGGATGCATTACATGTTATGTTGGGAAAGGTCCAATTCGTACACATTCAGTTTTAAAGTCTCGAATCAAACAATTCGAACATGTCAATGCTGTTTTGGATCCAAACACAAAAGCAAAATCACTTGCAGAACTCTTAACAAATTTCAAAGAGATTTTTTTGACTTGCTTTACTTAGTCCAGATTTCAAATCCAAATCAAATGAATCTGGCATTATGCATATTTACCTCACATAAGACAGTAAGGCAGATCTCTTTGGTGTGTAATCAGACAATTAGGAAAAGCCCATAGGCCCTTTTTAGTAAACATCAACAGTGGGTTAGTGGTTGAAACCCTCCTGACATTAGTTAACATGCTGACCTTTGGGAACTTCCAACAAAATGACACATAGCTGAGTTCGTTCAGTACAAAGCGTCCTGACAACATTCTTTAAGTTACAACGCAGGTATTTTGCAAACAATACAGACAGAAACCAAAAGCCGGCTTAGTAATGGCTCTGAGGAATCCATCTAGGGAACTGGTTCATTTAGAGTAAACAGGATCCACAGGAATGTTCCTCTTCTCTTCTGTCACACCTTCTTTGAGAGTGTGTGTTGATAAATGGGAACAGATCCACGTGAGCCTGAATTATTGTTCTGCCAGGCCTCCCGTCAAAAGACTGGAAAGCAGATCCAAAGTCTTTTTGAAACCCCTTAGAACAGGGAGAGAATATCACTGTACAACAGAAACCTGTAAAACCAGGTATCATCGCAGTCTGGTAAATAACTGCAAGCCCACCTACTGTCATTTAAGTCGGTTAGAACTTCCAAACAACCAACAAACAAGACGAACACAGTTTACTGCTTCTGAAATTCTTGCAAAAAATAAATTAGTACATGGCGGAAAAACTAAATAATCCGCAATAAATAAAAAAGTTGCACTGAGCTGTGATGGTTGTAGTCGTGGGAAATATTCATTCATAATGTAAACCTGCAGCAATCCAGGGCTATTCTGGGCATCTAGAAGCATAGATCCCAAGTCCAAATGAAACGAACGTTGAAGGCAGCCAAACAAAAAAATAAATAAGGAAGAATCCAGAAGCCAGCAACTAGAGTTCAGGAAGTCCAGTGTGTAAAACAAAACTGTGTGTGTGAAATTTCTGAATCGAGTCCAAAGTCCTTCAGGATTTAAAGGCTTGGCTTAATATTGCTTTCCGCTTGCAAATCTCCAATGTCCTCAGTGCTCTCCATCATCCAAGGATGCTGCAAAATCTGCTCCAAACTAGGCCGATCCTCCGGCCTGTATGAAAGGCACCAGCGAATCAGAGACTGGCATTCTGAAATGAAAGAATAAATGTTGAATAAACCTGGCATCGTATACTACGAAGATTGGTGGCTCTGTAACGAACTGCTCATGTTGTTCTGTTGTAAGCAGATGTGCAAATGTAAATGTTCTTAAGTAACAAATCTGCTTGATTACATTGAAACCCATTTGATTGCCATAATGTGAAGTATTTGCAAGTTATACAAGTACAAAACTTATTTTAGCCATTTAATTGTATAAATTTTATATACTGGGAAACAATTTTATACATCTATGTGACATTTTGTTGAAAAAAATGTTTATTAAGGGATAGTTCATTCAAAAATGAACACTGTCATAATTTACTCTCATTTTGGAAGTACATATTTGGAAAAATGATGGTAACCAAACAGTTTGGCTCCCATTCACTTCTATAGTATGGACAAAAATACAATAGAAGTCAATGGTACCCAACACTGTTTGGTTACCAACGTTCTTAAAAAAAAAAAAAAAAAAGTCATCCAGGTTTTTCTCAAACACAATGAGGTATCCCTGACCCGGCATCTCAAACCAGTCGAGCATCCGGATGATGCCGCGGTGACTGGGTAGCGACCCCGACTCTCCACCCACACGCAGGAGGAGAGCGATCTCCATGGGGACCTTGTTTGCTGTACCAGGCTATGAAGGGTAAATAAAAAAAAAAAGTCATTATTAACTTTGGATTCTGATTATTTTCCACAGGAAAAGACGTTATATTAAAAAAATTCCCTAGAAAAGTTCAACATACGGTACTGCAGGTGTAAAATTGGGTTTCTCCCTGGGTTATTAAAAGGGGAACTACAATTTTATCTGTCACATATTTTGGACCTATAAATATTCTTCTTGTTTTGAAACCAAATATATCTCGCCTATCAAGTCGATTACTATAAAACTGGTTCTGACACACTTGGGAAAGTCCACTTAAGTTTCCCTTTTGGGGTGTTTTGAAAAATCCATGTCGTCACGCCTACGTCACTTTCTGTATTAGGACGACGCTGTTCCGGTAAAAAACCCAAACAATCAGAAGAGGGCGCTATCATTCCTATTTCTATGATTTCGTTGTTTGTATGTTCAAACTGAAATTAATGTAGCTTTACTTGGATGACAACTTAAAAAAAAAAAAAAAAAAAAAAAAAAAAAAACACACACACACACATTTGCATTAATATAAAAGGATTACTCACCAGACTGGCCCACTGCTGAATTCTATCACAGGATATTTGTTTGATAGCGACCTAAAATGATAATAAAAGTAATTTAGAGGAGAAATTTATGAAGATATATGCACGAATGTTTGCATTTTATATTAGAGTATATCATTCTTACCTGTAGTCCGTCTGAAATGCGCTGTCCGGAGAACACAGAACCGAATCCGCCGCTTCCCAGAAGGGATCCCATCTTATATTGCTTCTCAAAGTGCTCCTTAACTGAAAGTAAACACAATCAAATATAATAAAGATGTAACATAACAACCAAAAATGCATGTCGGTCCTTCTAAATTATGTTTCTGGATTAATATACAATTTAGCACAAGCGCCATTTAGTATTTAACTGTTGGTAAATTTCAAAATAATTTAAAGGCGAATTCAAACATAGCCTTATAAACAGATCTTAATTAACTTACCATTTTTTGCTCTCACGCCTTCCAGCTGATCCGAACGCAGGTCAACAATCCTTTTATCCAACATCTTCAGTTTTTATACGAATAAAAACTCTAAAAACAAGTGATATCTTCAGCTAGTACAGTGCGCCACCTCAGCAGAACATATCCATGGTAATCTGTTACGGTTCAGTTCAATTCAGTTCAATTCAAATTCCGCCGTTTGCAGCGAGTGACTCCTTCAAACACTCGCACACTTCTGAATCGTCTCGCAGTTTGTTGATGTTTTAAGTTTACATGCGTAAACACGCCCACTCTAACGAACCCGCCCAATCGTGGCCAACACGCTTGGAGTGTTTTGAAATGACAGCCAATCACAGCGCTGAAAACAAATGACTATTAATAAGCGAAGGTTAAAAATCTAGAATCTCTTCAGCTTTGAGCTTTTGCGCCCAACGTCCCTCACAGAAAGAGCGCGAGCGCGCGAGAGATGACGGGAATACCTTTGACATTTTTTTTAACGCGTAAATTTTGAATTCACTCATGCACTAAGGCAAGATATTCCAGCTGTTTCTTTTTAGTAGCATTGTTAATGAAACCCGTGAAATAACCATTCCGAATAGACTAAATAGACTGTTAGAATAGAATTTAAAAAGCAGCTAGCAGAGATAAATTCCACTAGTAACAAATTAAACAGATATTAGTGTCTCATCATAATTAGGTACAAATAAAACTGAAATAGATACTAGTAAATACATTTTACTACTACTAAACGACTAGAAAAACTGGAACAGGTAAATGGAAGTGTAGCTAATCCCCAGATCCTCATATAGAATTATATAGCAAAATGTGCCCCTTCTTCTTTTTTTTCTTTTCTTAAACACTCAGATTGAATCTGAATTGAGAAATGTAGTACCCAAGTAACAAGTTCTAGTAATTTGAATAGCTAGTCACACTAGTGAAAATAAAAAACATACTGGTCACTATTGGGTTATTTACTAGTAATTTAAAAATTGAAGTCAAATAGTAGTAAAAAAAACAACAACAGTCCTTTAGCACAAATATTGCGCACATCTGCACATATAAATAGGGATGATCTTAGAACCTTTGAAGGGCATAATGACTCATGCTTTAGCATGCTCTGTGCATGTGGGACAGTCCCACATCAGCTATTTACTAAATCGAATGTGGTTTTGTCTCCATGATGACATACCAAGAAAAACGGAACTTTAATAGCTAAGCGATGGCATTTGATAATGCTTTATATGCAGATATCAAGACCTCACTTACCAGACTTAAATGTCCTAGTGAGCATTTGAGACACTTGACTGGTAGATTTCAGCATTGCATTAAAGTTGCATGCATTTCTATATACCTAACTATTCAGACACATCTTGCAAAGTAAACATTCTTTAATAAAACTGTTTTCCACATTTGAGATTAATAGTGAAATCTTCAAAAATATGAATCATGACTGTATAAAGAGGATGCCAACAAATAAGTATATTTCTTCAGAAAGTTCTTTTTTTATTCCAAGAAAAAAAAAAGAGCATTTTCATCCCAAACAAGAAAAAAAAACAAGATTATATTAATTAAGAGGATAAAGTATGACTTTTTTTTTTTCAATAACTTCGTTTCCCCATGTTTTCTATAATGATATCAGTTTTTCACATGCACCTAAAGAAGTCCAATGATGGTGTGAATGGTGTAAGAAAGAAAAGGAGTGGTTAGGTGAGTATCACAACAATGGGCCATTACTGCTGGATGACTGAGGCCAGTGATGGACTGATGGATGGATGGATGGATGGGTGGGGGAAGGAAAGGGAGGACAATGTGAACTGCATGATGATGGAGAGAATGTGACTGGTTTGATCCCCATGTATCTGCCTCCTGCTTCAGATGCAGATTGTGCCTCAACCCTCCTTTATCAACTGCTGTCTGGAGAAGGTTCTCTATGCATGGCGTTTTTCTTCATGCTGTCGAGGTATTCCTGTTGTGACACGGCCAAGACGGACGCCAATATTTCGTCGTCTTCCCAGTCTGTTAGGCCTGTTGCAAAACAAGAGCAACAAAACACATTATGGTTTGCTGACACAGATAAAAACATAGCCTATTATATACACCACAAGTCAAAACATTTCACACACATGACTGAAATTCTTATCTGAAGGCTTCTGCTCAAATGCTTGAAATTATTTTATAGATAACTGTATACACTACCTGTAAAACGATTTTTGTATGTTTTTAATGTGAAATAAGTCTCTTATGCTCACCAAGGCTGCATTTATTTGATCAACAATATAGTAAAAACAGTAATATTCTGAAATATGATTACATTTTAAAATAACTTAACTTGAATATATTCTAAAACGTAATTTATTCCTGGGATGGCAAAGCGATTACTACAGTCTTCAGTGTCATAAGATCCTTCAAAAATCATTCTAATATGCTGATTTGCTGCTCAATTATGTTGCTTAACATTTTTGTGATATATTTTTAAGGATTCTTTGATGAATAAAGTTCAAAAGAACAGCATTTATTTGAAATAGATTTTTTTTTAACATTACAGTAAATGCCATTATCAGTAAATTAGATCAGTTTAATACATCCTTAGTGAATAGAAGTATTAATTTCTTTGATTTCTGAAGGATCATGTGACACTGGAGTACACTGAAAATTCAGCTTTGCATCACTGGAATAAATTAGATTTTAAAATATATTCAAATTTTAAAAAAAGTTTTTTTTTAACTTGTAATAATATTTCACAATATTACTGTTTTTACTGTATTTTTGAATAAATAAATTCAGCCTTGGTGAGCAGAAGAGACTTTCAAAAACATCTTAATTATTCCAAACTCTTGACCAGTAGTGTCTAAAAATTTATTTCTTTATAAATCACATTTTTAAGGCTGATGATATTGTAAAACCAAACCAAGTGTGCAACATACATAGGAACTTACAGAGTCTTTCATTCTTTAACGCCTTTACTATTATTAAATGTGCACAACAGCAATAATAAAGAATGAGTAGGTGTGTCAATCTTTTCAGACTGATGTATATCCATTACAAGAGTTCCCTCCCTATTTGTACCTTCTTAAGTTCTTTAAGCTGATGTCAACAGTAGCTGGGGTGTGCCGATACTCAGCTGCAATCAAGTGTATTTAACTGCACATAACGACTGTACATGCTGCTTTCTGCATGAGTGCTGGTTACAATTCACACAGCTCCACACTGAATCACATGGATCACATCACAGATTCAAGCTGTGTGAGACGCATGAGGAAGGCGAGCGAGCGCCGTGATTAACATGGCATTCCTGAGCCCTGGATTCTTTCATACTGAATCAGGCAGGACAGCTAGACAGATTGGCAAGCGTGATTTCACTTCCTCACCAAGAGCAGTAGGGGACATCTCTTGCATAATGGCCCGATAGCCCAGTGCTGGATACAGAGACACCAGAGAAGACGAGGTGGGTCTGTCTGGTCCAACACAAGCCTGGTTACTGGGACCTAAACGGCGAGACAGAACACAGGAAATCTTTATTTTGAAAGACTAAAGTACAGAGATCTATGTGGCTTCTCCTGCAGTGCTTTTGGGTGAATTTCATAAAAAGACCACACACAAAAAATTGCATAAAGAAACTTTATAACTTTTTTTTTTTTTTGCATAGTGACATTAAAATGAAGTATATTTACACACAAAAATTCATTACTGTAATGCATCTGGACAATTTAGTTTTGAGGGTTTTTTAATTACTTAATGATCATTCTTAATGACAATTCTCTTTATTATATCACTATTATTCTCATGCATTTCTGTTACCTTAATACAGGTTTTTATATTAATATTCAATATATTTTTATGTTTATATACATTACCGTTCAAAAGTTAGGGGTTACCAAGATTTTTTGGAAAAAGGAATTTATTTATTTTTTATTCAGCAAGGATGACTTAAAATGATCAAAAGTGACAGTAAAGGCATAAGATTTCCATTTCAAATAAATGCTGAACTTTCTATTCATCAAATCATTCTAGAAAAAAATTATCATGCTTCCCACAAAAAATATTAAGCAGCACAACTGTTTTCAACATTGATAATAATAAGAAATGTTTCTTGAGTATCAAATCAGCATATTAGAATGATTTCTGAAGGATCATGTGACACTGAAGACTGGAGTAATGATGATGGAAATTCAGCTTTGTATCACAGAAATAAATTGCATTTTAAAATATATTCAAATAGAAAATGGTTATTTTAAATTGTAATAATATTTCACAATATTACTGTTTTTACTGAATTTTTGATCAAAGAAATGCAGCCTTGTTGAGCAGAAGAGATTTCTAACGGTAGTGTACGTAAAAGAATTTGAACTGCAGAAACAGGCTTTCTTTGTGCAAAATATAATTTCTCATTTAATTCCCTTAGATTTGGAAGTGAAATACAACCCGGACATGTTTTTGACAGGTTTCCTTACAATCCATGAACATCATGTGGCATTTACCCTATAAATTGGCTTGCTGGAGGAAATGCATCACACAGTTAAACTGATAGTTTTAATGACACTGTCCTTATTGTAAAGACTGATAACAGACCTGGTGCACAGGGTGATGGGGGTTTGGATAGTGCGAGGGCCGCTCCGGCCGGGGAGGGGGGCTTAGCGGGTGTGTCCGAGTGCGAAGGATCAGGAATCTCCGGAGAGGGGGCGGAGCTGCGCTGCCGTGGGGATCGGGCGTTCCATTCTTCCAAACCACTGGAGGCCGCAGCCGTGGCGGAGCTGCACGTAGCACTGGCCTTACGAGGCTGAGCGAGTAGCAAAAGTAAACGCGTTCATTCACAAATGATAAGTGAACAAGCACTTCGTATCTTCAAAGTTTGTCACTCAAAATAGTAAACATTCTTATACAAGGACATTTACAGAAAGTAGGTTTATGTAAGGTTTGTGTAAAATCTTTTATGTTTGTTTGCTTGGGTCAAATGACTCATTTTTTTTTCTTTCTGATACACTGCTGTCAGTCAGTTCAAGAAGTGATTTATAAGAAAGCCTATAGCTTCTGTGAAGAATGGTCTTCTTCACAGCTGGCTGAAGTGTGAAAACGCAAACCACATATGCTGCAGGTATTTGCGTAGCCGATAGTCTTAGATATGAGTATCTTAACCAATGAGGCACTCATCACAGCTAACTTGTGACTTTCTGAAAAAATTCCTATGTGATCAGCATTAAACCAGCGCTTATTTTATGA